TTTTAACCTGACTTCTTCACGAATATAATGAAAGTCAGTGGTGACATACTTCATGTCGGAGTGAAATACAAGATTGGCCGGGAAAATTTTCACCAAGATTATCATAGTAAAGCAGGGTTGTGATGGAATACAAATGCCCAATTCTTGAAGAAGATATTGAATCCATTCAATTTCAGCGGTAATATTGCATACAACCTTATATTCTGTTTCGTTGGAAAGTAGTTGACGGGTAGTTGCTTTTTCGAGCTCCAAGAAACCAAATTGTAACCAAGGAATGCACTGCTGGGGAGCGATCACTGAGATTGCCCCCAATATGCATCGGAGAACGAGTGTAGTGAAAGAGGAGATATGGACCGAAGAAAGAAGCTAGAGTCAAGAGTTTCCTTCAAATAACGGAGAAGACTCCTGGCAAGAGTCCAAGTAAGTTGAAGTGGGTCGAATGGTCGATACATAAAATGAGATAATTTTCTAATAATGCAAGAGACGTTTGTAGAAACTTTGAACTTTATAAAACGAGAAACTTTAGAATTTGAAAACCTAAATTCCTTTATTGCCAAGTTCCTCCATGTCAAATCATAAAGAAAATTAATAGTGCGAAACATAACTTAATTCTTTATTACCGAATCTTGATTTCGGATCTTGAATCTTGAAGCTTGAATTGCAATTTTTTCATGTTTGGGTTCTTCACTTTTAATCTTGAATTTTGCCTCCTTTGATTCTTTAATTCTTGTTCTTGATTTTGCTTCTTGATCAATAGTCTTGATTATTGAATTCCTTCTTCTTGTACTTTTTCATGTGGGTTTTTTCATGTTCCTTTTCAATATGCTTTCTTTGTATTTTTGTTCATGGGATAATTCAAAAATGAAAAATTGCATATGAATTGGGGACCATAACCTCATATATAGGGGGTATCAATTTGGTTCTTGATAGTTAATCTTGATTGTGGGTTTTTTGATCTTCCTCTTCAATATGCTTTCTTTTCTATTTTTGTGTTGATAGGATAATACAAAAACGAAAAATTGCATATAAATAGGGGACCTTGGGGGATCATAACCTTATATATAGAGGTGTTAATTTTGTTCGTCTGCTCGAGCGACCGGTCGCTCGCTCTAGGAAAAACTTGAGTCGACTTGGCTCGTAGCTTGATAGAATCGGCCCGAGGCTCAGGCCATGCCCCCATTTTAGAGCATCAACTCGAGTTGAAGCCATACAGGGTATTTTCGTCCTGTGATGAGCCAGCCTTTAAAAAAAAATCGACAACTGCATGCTGCAATAAGCTACCTTGCAGCCAGCTAAATGTAAAATTTTTAAAAAAAAGAGAAAAAAAAGGCAGCCACCTTGCCCCCGCTAAGCGTGAGGCGGCTCGGTTCTGGTCGAGCCTAGAGTTTTTTGTAGCTGCCTTGCAGTCGGCTAAGCGTAAAATAAAATAAAAAGAAAATGAAAAAAAAGCTTGAGGCGAGCAGAGAGTTTTTGGCCGAGCAAAAGCTCGGCTCGGCTCGAGAAAAAAAACTTGAACCATTTTTACTTGATTCAAGCTCGAGCCTCGACTTTCGATTCGCTAGCCGGCTGGCTCGTTGACATCTCTGCCTATCTATAGTTTTCAAATGTATTTCACCCATCATGGAATACAATTCTAAATGAATTTAATCTCTACACATATAATTCGACACACACTTTATTTAGGTATTCAAATCTCAATTACTTAATTCTTTATTAAATCATTTTAATTTTAAACTTAACTTTAATATTGTATTATTGCATATGCAGGCTCATGCGGCAAATTAAATATTTTCTCAAAAATGTTATGGCTAGTGAGACACAAGTATTGAAGAACACCTATGATTTGATGGCATTGATGCATCAACTACAATCTTAACTTGATATTAGTGAATTTACAGTTGAACACAAGCAGGAAAATAAATCTAAAGTGTATATATTATTCTTTATGAGTACAAATTAAACTAAAAGTTGTTTACGGTTTAGAATTCCACCAACATGTTTCATATTCTGAATCAGTTTAATTTACATTTAAACATAAATTAAAGATAATTAGGTCACTAAATTTTCAAACCATTTTTATTTATTTTATTGTAAATAAGTTGTAAAAATAATTAAAATTTCAAAATTTGTAATTCGAAATTCATATTTTTTTCAACAACTTCAAAAGCACAATCAAGACAGTGGATTGCGCAAAGGACCCACCGTTTCAATGATACAAATATGAAATACCAAACATTCTCAAAGTAAGATTTAAATTTCTTCTACACACCTAGATCGATATTGTAATTAAAATTTTAAAATCGACGAAAACGATAGTATTAGTATTAAATTAAATTAATTGGTAATGCAAGTGGTGGGTCCGGCATTGTATTTCAGTCACGTCACATAGATTTTGTTATCACTGATAAATACTGAAAAGAGTTGGACACGAAAAAGGTATGTTTTTTGAATTAAAGTTGGTTGTACTTTGTGTAAAACAAGGAGAAAAGGTACAACTCACCTGGGCATGACCAGCTTCCCTTTTAACGCGTGCATTAGTTGCACTATGACTATACTACTATGGACTCTCCATTTCGGTTCTTTGACACTGTCCATTGTCTTTTATGTACAGAGACGAACTGGAAAATCAACAAATAATTTCAAAAGTTACGGATTCATTTAATTTCACAGAATAAGATGAATAGAATTCAAATCATTTCATTTGCTTGCCTTTTACGGTGCTTTTCACAGACTTTAAATACTTCTGTCTTTTGCTGTATGGCTAACCTCTTTTTCGTGTATACCCACAGAACCAAATATGGAATCTGGCATTGTTTGGTACAAAAATTCATTGTTTGAATTGAAAAAATGATTGTACTGACCTTATCATCAATTAAGAAAAAGAAATCGGCTAATTTCAACCACAAATTATCATATACATAGAGTAAGTCACGAGAAATGTGAGAAGGAAGATCGAGGCTGCCCGAGCATGAATGGGTGGACTGTGAGTGTGAGGCCATCGACATACTGGTGTATGTAAAAATCAGATTTTTAGTAGATTTTAAAAAAAGTTAATGAAATGCGTAGTTGAAATGTTCATAAAATACGTGGTTAAAATTAATTTTTGACTTTAAATTAAATTTCTATCAATTTTTTAATTTTTTTTTACTATTTAAAGATTAGGAAATGTGAGAATCACATGTCTTTTCAACAATAAACTAGATGCAAACCGTTCATCGGAGATCGGACTTGATAGAGAAAAGATTTAAATGGTAAAAAATAAACATTGAGGACTTACTTGTAACAATACTCATAGATTGAGGACATTGATTCAATTTTTCCTAACATTTCTGAAAAGTTGATAAAATATATGTAATAGTAATTAATGCGAAAGATCCACCGAATTACGGATTCCGTTAAACTTTGAATTGATTTATGGATTCCGTTAAACTTCTCCGGCAGAAAATTATTGAAGTGACAGATTTTGGAAGAACTTCAATAGCACAGTACATATAATTAATGATTTTGATTGTACATAAAAATATGTTCTCACCACAGAGTGCATATTCATTCTAATGTTTTCACTTTAATCATAGGGTGATGCTATATATACATAATGTCGTATTCATAACGGTGTTGGAGAGGGACCCACTCCGAATAAAATATAATATATCCGAAGTGAGTCTCTCTCCATGTGAGGGGGTGGACACCGTTATGGACACCGCATTATGTACAAATAGCATATTCCTTAATCATAACACACATTAATGTAATAAAATTTTGGCCCTTGAAAACAAAGCAATTAATATTTTTAATGTGTTTGTGTCCCAAATTTGGAACATGTTTGTGTGGAGACCTCATTAATCAAGCAAGGTCCTCTAAACTGTTTAATAGACGGCATATTTACCCATTTCAGCTTCGTGTTAATTTCTCTCTGATCGTTGTACTCTAACTAAATTTTTAATTGGGTAAATTATGCTTTAAGTTTGTGTTAATTGAGTTTTTATATTTTTTTATTTTGTCCCATTTAACCCAATTTGTTCAATTTTGTTTAACTTCAAACGTTTATTTTGCTATACATGTACTAATGGCATAAAATTGATCTCGAAGAAGTGATACAATTGAAAATCTTTTCTATAAATTTGATTTGTGGACTAAAAAATAGTCCACATATAGTAGCTACTTTTTACAATAATGTAGAATGACAGTTCAAAATTTATAGTGACGAAATTGAACATAGTCTAGATTGCGAGTACAAAAATACTCACTCGTCAAGGTGATTTAGCACTCTAATTCAATGTTTAATTTATTTGTTTGACAACAAATCACGATACCTATCTTTTCATAGACTAATGTTAAAAATCACGACTGCTAAATAACATTATTCTTAATCTACGTTTTATGTTTTTTTTTGATGCGAGTTAGTCCTTGATATAAAATGCTTGCCTAGTCTAGGGTGACAATAGACGGAGTCAAGTCAGCTCTGTCCTAGGGACGAGTCGAGCCACCCCTTCTTTTACATAAAATATTGACAAACAATGGTTTTTTTTTAATTGTGATTGTCTCGTTTTTACATGAGCCCGAACAATCCATGAATCGAGTCCACAGGAACCAAAACTGCAAGCCAACAAGCAATTTGGCCTGCGTATACCACCCTTAGCTCGTATCGTTTTTGTTGTGCAACAGTTCCACCTGTAATTGCACTAAACTTTTCTCCCCAGTTCACCCTACCCATGAGTAAAGATTTTCCTGCTGTTTTCCTTGTACTGTAATAGTATTCCCCAGTTGAATAATCAGTGGTCAATATAATATTTTAAATTATAATAATTCGATTTTCACCACACCTTCACCTTTCCTCGATACTGTAAAACCCGGATTTGAATCCAGAAATCTCCTCTATCTTTCTCCATTTATATTCACTTTCTTTCTCCACCCTTTTCAACCACCCCACACTCGCTTCTTTCAAAACAAAACCCTGCAATCAACTCGTTTCACAATAGTATTATTGTACTGTTTTCGCGATGGGTGATAAACAGTTGTCTGAGCTATTGAAAGAAGATCAAGAGCCATTCCAGTTAAAGAGTTACATTGAACAGAGGCGCACTCAATTACAAGTCAAAAAGCGCAACCCCAAAATTCTACAAACCCCCTCGAAACGTGCAAATCTTTGCAAACATGCTTGTTTTTTCTCGTTTCAGAACTCGCCGGACGTTAGAAAATCACCCTTTCATGATTTCTATTCACCTTGTAAATCCCCAAAAGGTGCCGTGTTCCTCCACATCCCGGCCGGAACTGCTGCTCTCCTCGCTGAAGCCGCCATGAGGATTCAAAAACAGAAACCCAAGCCTAAAACCCAGATTAAAAATGTCGGTTTCGGGCTGTTTGGGTCCATTCTGAAGAGACTGAAAGATCGGAACAAGAACAAAAAACTAGCCATTGGGGACGCAAAACTTGAAAAACAAGAAAAAATGGATGCTGAGATTAAAATTTCTTGTTCCTGTAATAACAGTAGGCTTAGCAGTGCTGGTTGGTCAGAATATAATGAAGAGAAATCTCTGGATTTGGAGACCTCTACTAGCAGTTGTAGTAGGTCAGAGGATTCGGAAATTATTATTTCTTGTGAAAACCGCTTTTGCATAAGCCCATTCAGATTTTCTCTTCAGACAAGCCCTTCAATCTCCGGTCACCGGACGCCGGATTTTTGCTCTCCGTCAGCTTCTCCGAATCGCCACAGAAAACTGGTTTGTCTTTTCTTTTTGGCTCTTTTTTCTCTTCATCGGGAAAATTACTATTACATTCTCTTCTTCTTTGGATTCTTCATCTTTCCTTAGGAATTAATACTAAATTTACTCAATTGATGTTAAGAAACTAATTATTCTTTTAAAAAGAAGATCATTTTTTTTCCGAAACATAAATGGAAAGTTGTTATACGGTCAAATTAATTCTTTCCATTTTGATTTATTTACTCTTTAAAATGGAAATTATATTAATTTATATATGTCTTCAAACATTGATCTCTTAAGATTATTAGTAGCCTTGAAAAGAGTAACACAGAACAGAATGAGTTGGACTTGGTGAGTGAACTCGTGACTCATACGAACATGTTTTGACTTGTTTTTCCTGTCGGTGAATGATCTCGTTGGTCTGATGTGTGGCCGGAATGTCCAAGCTAAATGACCAAGATGCCCTTCAAATTTTGACCCAAATCTCAATTTCAGAGGGCAATTACGTGCTCATACACGTCCGTTTGTTGTTTGTTTATTGTACTTTCAATCACGCCTCTGCCACACAAATCTTTTTTCTTTTTTTTATCATGTTTGTCTCCTGAATAAAATTTTCCACTAAAGGACAAATCTTTGTTTTGTTCTACTCAATGGACCCTAATGGTAATTTACCACAACTTAACACCGTGTTTGTTTGTGATTTTATCTTACATGGAAGAAAAGTCAGCAGTCAGCTTTTCATCTTTCACCGCCTTATACTTCACTTTCACCAATGGAATGGTGAGAATCTTGATAATGTTAGTTTTTAATTAAATTCTAATAGGAAAAGGAGAACGATGGGACGAAAAATATGAAAAAAGTCCAAGAAGAAGGAGTTGAAGAGAAAGAACAATGTAGTCCGGTATCCATTTTGGACCCTCCATTTGAAGATGAAGAGGACAGACATGAATGTGGAGATGCAGACGAAGAAGATTATGATCTTGAACGCAACTATGCAAATGTACAAAGTAAGTAAAAGTCGTCAATTTTCTTTTTACATGCATGTAACGTGATCATTAATGCTATGAACATCATTGATTGTGAAGTCGTTTTCGTCTTTACATTAGTTTAGGCTCATATGTTGAGTACAATAGATTCGATTCGATTCAATTCAATTCAGTTATTTCAATACTAATATGTAATTTGTTTCTAGGATCCACTGTGTCCGACGTACTGTGGTTATAACTTGTACATCAATTTCTGTTAATGTGACATCATTTTGGCTACTTCTTGTATGACCCACATTTAGGTAGTGGTTTATTTTTTTCCCTAAATTGTCACAATCCTTCTTTCTTTAATGAATTGGTCACATTATTTGTTGTTGGGCTTTCTTAATCATATTTTGGCACCTCATGAAATCACTCAACACAAGCCACTATTCACAATGGAACCTAGTTGAGAGCTCCTTTTCTGTATGAATTAGAGTTTAAAAGAGTAACAAGTATAGATCTTTCTTGAATTTGGTATCTGTATCGATTTTTCGTTTTACGTCCCAGTTTTTATTTTATGTACTTGGTATGCAGTATTAAATAGTAGAATAGACGAATGTAGTTTCTTTCTTGTTCATAATACTCTCGAGTACTATGTTGTAATAACTAATATGTTTACAGGTCAAAATGGTTAATTTATGATATTTCTTTTAGTAGTTTTCATCACGATTAAGTTGAACAATGGTTATTAGGTTCCCAGACAGAAAATAATTTGATTTTGCTTTGTTTTCTTATACTGAACTTGCAGGAACAAAACATCAGCTTCTGTACAGGCTCCGTAGATTCGAAAAACTAGCAGAATTGGATCCAATGGAACTTGAGAGAAAATTGCTAGAAGAATCAGATGATGATGATGATGACCTTGAAGAAAGAGATGAGCTGGAAGATGAAGTGCCCTTGGCATTGTACAAACAGCGGAGTGTCGATAAATTTGTGACCGAAGTTTTCAACCAATCAAGCCTTCAAAACACGAGGAAGATTTCCACTGACATGACGAGGCTAGTTTCAGATTTAATTACGGAGGAAAAACGTGAAACGAATTTCTGGTGCAATAAAGAAGTCGTGTTGGGACGGGTTTGCAACAGGTTGGATTCCTGGAGAGAAGTCGAATCCGACACCATTGATATGATGATTGAATTGGATTTCAAAAAGGAGATGGACGGGTGGAAAAACTTTCCTGAGCAGGTGGAAGAAACAGCAGCACAATTTGAGCGTGCAATCTTTGGACTATTGGTGGATGAATTATCAAATGAACTGTTTCACTTGGCTGGACACGATGAAAAACTCGAGAACTTCTCGGTTGAATGCTCGTGATGAATTTTTATTTTCAGATCTTAATTTCGGATCGAAGTCTGATTCGTATGGTCAAGGGCTCAAGAGATGGAAAAATGATCAAGTTATACCAGTACTATCATGGTATTCTTGGTAAGGTCGATTAGATTGTTCTAGACAGTATTAAAGAAAACATCAATCTAACATATTCTGATAGTACTATTATGTTCAGTATTACGCATTGAAATATGCTGTTCACTCAATTAATTACTGACACCTCATTTTAAATTATCGTGTCGTCAATTTGGTGGGTTAGTGGTGAAATTAATGAAGAGAAATTTGAGATGAGATGTTAATTAAAAAATAATGTGTCAATAATTAATTGAGTGGACAATAAGTTGCACGTCGACATGCCTAGCACGCCGTTAGATTATAGCATTAAGATTTATGTATTAACATCTTGTCTATGTATTTTTTTTTTTTATTTAATGAGACAGAATAACTTCTTCGACCTCTAATTTTAGCCAGAGGATAAATTTTTATTATTAGCTAATTTATTTGTTATTATTTGAAATTAATGCCATGGCTGCTACATCAAAGAATTGATTCCAGCAGAATATGTCGGCAGGGAGGATAAAGGCTTTAGCTTTTGCACAGAAAGTAATATATTCCTTGCTTTTTGGAAAGATTTGTCGAAAGTAGTTCAACATTTCCCTTGTGGACAAATTGCATATTTTTTGTCACTGTGAATTTCTGTATTTTGTGATTGACCAAACTTCATTTTCATTACTTTTGTGTCGCTAGAGGCTATTTTTCAACCATAGTATGGAAGTTGGTTTTATTTTTTCTTCTTGTGGAGCACCTTTGACTTTTTCTAGCTTAAGTGTTACACACCTTTCACTGTCTATGGTTTGAGTCGACAATTTGTATTTTATTTTTAATACGTAGATGCATACACTTGTCTTCGTATATTTGGTTCTTACTAAGTAACCAGGATTGCTCGATGAAAGAAAATCGAGACTTTCAACTCCAAAGTCTACACAACACAGTGTTTGATCCATGCCGATGATCTTGATCTCCTCCGAACCTACTTATAAATCCTACACAGAGTGACATATTTCCCTTTTGGTTTATGATTGCCGTTCCATAGCAAGTGGACTCTAAATGATATGAAATTTGGTGAAAAGCTTCATATTTCACCTTGTACGGTTATTCAAATGTGCAGATAATATACTGATGCACAGAGGTTTTACTCGCACATGGAGCTACCCAGAGTTGCTCGTGGACTCGTTAGTTTAGATCGACTTGGAGTAGCTTATATTTGTAGTTGATTTATTTGTGTTATTTTTGGCGCTTAGCAGATATAGTTTGTTTTTTGGTGTAGTGTCAACTGTCGAGTATGTAATCACGATATTCCTCCGCCAAGTGAGGTTCTATTAAAAAAAACACACTGTAGGTAATTGAAATTTAATATTTAATTGCAATGCAAATGGATAGAGTTAAACTCAAAACTATACAAAAAGTGCCAGCACTTGGAATCTTTTCTTTTTCTTTTTAAGAAAAGTTACATGTGAATTATTACCAATGTTAATATAATATATTTGGTGAGGAGTTAAGGTTGTAATGATATAATATGCCAAAAGTTATCTCCATAATTGCCCAAAAAAACTATATAAATTTAAAAGTAAATAAGGTTTGCTAATGGAATCTATCATCTACGAGCACACTTTGTCCAAAGTTAAGACAAATATTTTACCTAAATACGAATTACTTAAATTAAATAATTTTGTCTTTGAAGATGTTGCTTTGGTTAAAACCAGCTGTAAATTGCATTTAATGATTCATTGCTTTGTCCATTTTTATGTTTTAACATTCAAGATTGGAAAGCTCAACTCCTCCCACTTCACTTCACATCACATGTACATTCTTCTAAATTTGTCATTACATATATTTTAACTTTTTTCTCTTTTTTCAAATCATATTGTCTATTCTAAGATAGTGGATAAGTAATGCTTGACCAAGGACTATAGCTGCATAATGTTGAGACATGTCAAATAAATATAGAGTTGAAGGGAATTCTCTGATGAGAAAATGAATTATGGGAATGTGACTTGAACTATTGATTAGTTCGTGTAGATATATGTCTGTTACATTGGAATTTACAACCAAATGT